GTAGGAATCACAGGAAAATACCTCTGCTCTCGTATCCTCCTGACTCGCTCAGCTCGTTCCAGTTTTTTCTGCTCCTCAAGTGCTTTTTGCTCTGTAGTGTCTCTCTGGATGCGCTCATTTAAGGCATCAAAATCTTTTGCTATGATATGGAGAAGCCAAAATAATCCCTTTTTGATTGATTTATCAATTTTTTTCCCACAGCCCATGATTGCTGAGCAAGGTTCCTGTAAATATATGGAGAAGGAAGGAAAAATCTGCAGTTAAGACCACATTCCTTGACTGGAAACAAGAAATTAGTGGAACAATTACTGTTGACTGTGAAGCTTGTAAAACACTGGGAATTATGGGTTATAAATAGTCCATGCTAGATTTATCAATCAAAATGAAAAAATCTGAGATGAAAGAGAATCAGCTTTGCTTCAGTTCGTGAAAGAAAGTTCAACATGTTCATAAGCACCTCGGGGGTAAATAAAATCTCCTGTGAATTTGTCAGAAAAGCTGTCAAAGCTATTTTATACAACAGAACAGGCACTGCACCTTGAGTGGAGTAAAACCTTTTGTAATTATACTCTCAGCAGTGAGAGAAACATGATCCAGGCAAATCTGTTGAAAGAGAAATGCAAACCTCATTGAGAAAATAGTTCTGAAAACACATCTGGTAAGAAATCATTGAAGGACCAAGAGTGCTTCTCTTGAGATTAAAGCACTTCAGGAAGATAGGATAATAGCCTTCAAAAACTTAAGGTGAAACTGCAAATAGGAAAAGAATAATTTCCTCTTATTTTTTCATGTCAGGAGGACAAGTAAAATCAGCTTTAACTGGGATAAATGAGGCAGGGCTTGATTCAAGCTTGGAACATGGAAAAGGTTTCTCTCAAGATCTCCTGGGAACTGTTTTCAAAAATGTTTTGGAGCACTGTATGTGTCTTTTAAAACATTCTCTGAATAACAACTGAACAGAACCAGCTCTGTGGATGACACGTAGAGATGATATTTCACACTGATTGTGTTCAGGTTGGAATTTATGACAATTAAAAGGGACTCTCCAATGCCAACATCTGAAAAACTCTATCTGCTCTCTCCATCTGACAAGGATTTAAATGGCACAACAGTCAGATATGGAATGTACAATTTACAACAGCAAAAAAAAAAAATCTGACCAGTTATGTTTAAATTAAGGTTCAAATATTGCAGGGTGCCTTTTGGCACCCTGCAATACCCTCCAGCAGAACCTACCCAGGAAGGAGATATACAGCAGATGTATACAACTTGTTTGTCTGAGAAAACTGAGATCAAACACTGGCCAGCACTGGGGCAGTGTTCTTCTCAGTTTGCAACAAGATTCTTGTTGCTGAAGTTTGGTTACAAAATGTAAACATTTAAAAATATGGAATATATAGACATATTAAATAAGAAAAAGAGGAAGGTCATTCTCACTGACACTGTCCAACAGCAAGACAAATTACTCCTTCCTTTTGCTTTAATACTTTGTGGTGAAATTTAAAGATCTAGTGGAAAACTAACTACAAGAATAAGAAGAAACAAAAGGTTTTTTGGTCATTGCCTAGCTTTCTATCTTGTTTCACAATGCCTCTGTTTAAATTGACACCAGGAGTCAATTTAGACTGAAGGAATTTGGGACCATTTTTATCTTTGAAGAGCCTGGTAAAGAAGGTGTCCATTAGAATATGAAACAGTTTTAAGAGAGTGTCATCTGGTGTCTTTCCTAATTACACACAAAATATAAATAAAGAACAAGAACAGCATGTCAGAAATCAAGCAATTCAGATGTACTGGAATACACTAATATCTTTCAGGTCATTTTTTGATGAATATTTTTCAAGAAAATATTTTTGGTAGAGAAGCTCCTTGGAAAAAAAAACAAGGATGAACTTGCAATTTTAATTTTTATGATTGCTATATGTGCATAGTGCAAAGTACACTAACTGAAGAAAAACACTCAGATAATCATGACATAATAAACAGAGCTATGCCCTGCTCTAACTCAGCTATTAGAGAAGACAATAGCAATATGTAGTGCTCTATAAATTTTGCAAATCTCCCAAATGAATTAAAATTATTTTTAAATTTTAAAATCCAAAGCTTAAATGGTTTTGCAAAACTGTCTTCTTATCTTGGTTAACAACACCATAACCCTCATTATCGTTCAAAATATTTTTTACTGCCATCAGAAAAAGATTGTGAAAATAAAGCCTTATCTAAAACACTGGTAGCTTAAAACAAAGACTTAAAGAAAAACTTCAGGGACTACTAATTTCGATATATTATCTGAAATGTTGACCAATATTAAGCAACTTTCATTAAGGCTTCTGGTTTTGGCTCTCCCCACAAAGACTTCCTGCTAGGTTTTTTCTTAACAGGACAATGAATACTACATCTAAATTTCAGTTTTATGGCATGTAGCATGATTTCCTACCTTAATGGAAACTTTACATTATTTACATATGAGAAAACACTGCATCTTCAAATCTACTTACAATTTGACAGAGACACTTGTGTTCATTAACCAGCCTTTCCAGAGATAAGGACTCGATCACATCTGCTTCTGACAGAGCTCCTTCTCTGTCCTGCTTATTTGCCAGTCTAGAGGGAAGATCAAAAGAAACGCTCAGCATCCTGCCACAAGAGAGACTCTCACATCTCCAAAAGCTGAGTTTGTGACAAAATTAGGAAGAGGAAGGGGAAGACTGAGAAAGAAAAGATGGAATTCCCTGTTTCCGCTTTAATTATTTCTTCTGCTCAATAAAGCATGTTAGTCTATGCACCATTTTCATCAGTTGCTAATGTTAGATAATCACCAAGGTGCTTAGCAATAAATTATTTCTAGAGAAAGCAATCATACTTACAGTTAAGAAAATAGACATAAAAGATCATCCTGCTTTACTCCTAAATCCACACAGGACAATCTGTTGGAGCCTCTGGATGAAAGTTCACAGTTTTACAACTTCCCAAACAATTTCCCTGTTTTAAAGTGCTTCAGGATCATCTCAGCTCTGCCTGCTACCCAGCATTTCTCTCTGATGCCTAACAATGCTTTGATCTTGCTCTTCCTGAGTAAAATTTACAAGTGTAGAGGGAGGAACTTGCATGAATGGCTCTAAACCACATATTTTATTCAATAGAGGAAAGCAAAAAACCCCCACATAACTCACAAAATAAGTATTCTGTAAGATGAAGATCATTGTCTTGTCACTTATACGTGGCAGGAAATAGGACTCTAGAAGACAGACTTTCATTTAGGAGTATAAAAATACAATCTAATCTTATTTTTCACTTTCTACAACATTAATAATTCAAGCTAAGTGCTGTACAGCATTAGAAAATAAAAAAAAATTGAGAACTTGCTTCTCTCTAAAGCAGGAATTCCACTAAAATAATGTTCCTCTGAAATTTAGCAATTTCAATGACATAAGAACTCTGATTCAATTTTCTGGATAAGAAGACAAATATTTGGCTTCCATGAACTCAGAGGCAGAAGGTTTTGGAACCAGACATCACAACCTTCTTCCTGAAATCTCAAGTCACTCTCATGAACTCAAATGGCTTTTAGGGAACTTAGGCCAAAGCTTGTACTTTGAATTTATGCTAATTCCTTGCTAGGAAGGAACAGTGGTAAGAATTTACTCTGTAGTTACCAAAACTTGTCAACACTTCAGTTTGATTTAAGACCTTACTTGTCCCTATTCTCCAAAATCCCAGTATGAGAGCTTCAGTTCTTAATTATTTTACTCCCAAGAGATTTTTCAGCATCAAAAACATTAGAAAAAAAGCTGTATTGCATCTACAGCCCAAAACTCCACATTCCTTTTCACCATTACCCCCATGAGCTACAATTTATTATCTAATCTTTCATCTTCCTTTTCAAGAAGAATTTGTTTATGAAGGAGACCATAGAAAAGCAGCTTCTCAAATGTCCAGTCACTCTCAGTCTTCACCATTCTTAACTATTTGTGGTCCATACCATTCACTTATTTATCATCATCCTGGAGGTAAAAATCCCTATTTCCTACTGATAATAACAACTTTGTTGGCTTGGCCTGCAGAGCTGGTAAGAGCATAAAACCCTTCCCTGTCCTTCCTTGATAATGAATTCCCACTTCTTAAAGAGAGAACTTCTTCAGTGCTTTGTATGATTTAGTGCAGGGATTCCCAAACTGCTGTTCAGTGCATATACAGAACATGTGATATTTTCAATATGTTTATAAATACTCTACTTCTTTTCACCAACCAGCTAGAACAAGACTTGTCCTTTCAGTATTTAACTATGAAACCAAAGCTAAACCAGGGAAAAACTGAGATGCAATGCAAAAAAGTAACTAAAAGACTGGAAAAAAATTGCCTCCACTTTTTTCTCCCCCACATAACGTATTTTGTTACAGTCTGAAAATCCTACTGCACTGCCTCTTAGTCTTAAAAAGCATTCCTCAGCAGTGCTGCCAATTCATCTATAGCTAATTGAAGGAAATATTTCTGAGCAGTGTTTGTTGCCACAGCCTATTCCTCTCTCACTTGAAGATTAAATAACTGCACTAGTTGCACTATTTTTGCCTGCACAGCCTACAAAGCACAGCTGAAGCAGAATGAAATGCTGGTAAGCTGCACAGCTCAGTGGCAGTTTGACACTAACATCCCACAGCTTGCAATAGCTGCTGATTTTTAACCTCTAACACCTTGAAAGGTGTCATATTTGTCTTTCTGGTCAATTAGCTTCCACTTTCTCTGCAGCAATACTGAGAAGAACATGGCTGAGGTGCTGTACCTGGAAAAGCAGCTGTCTCTGCCTAGTCTCCCCAGGAACTGAAGTGGTTTTGCTGAGGTCCATCTGCTGCTGGACACCCCTGCCCACTTCAGACTTTAGGTCAAACTTCTAAACGGACTTCAAGTATTTTCAAGATACTGTAGTAAAATGCATTATTCTGCGTGGGCTTTTTTATACCCATGAACAGATCCACCTACCCTCAATAATTGCTTTTCCCTCCATGCTTTGGTGCAGAAGAAAGCACAGCCTGCACTCACACTTGTGCTTCCAAGGTAGGCACTGCTCCACTGGCAGCTCCTAAGGGCAGCTGCTCCAAGGCACTTCCTGCTCCTGGGCACTCCTAAGGATCCGCCTCCCAGCAGGGCTGGCTTTCAAACAGGCACAACCAGATTCCCCAGGCACAAAGTAATCAATTTGCCTGTCTCCTGCAGTTGCAGAAGGCAGTTTCACTCTAGCACTCCTGAGGATGATCACACTTGGTCAACAATAGAAGAAGCAGAAGGAATGAAGGAAATACTTCATGGAATGTTGCTCTAGACACGTTGCCTAGGGAATATTCTGGAAAAATGTTTTTGGGATTATACTGAAGCTTAACCTCCGGGGTTCCTGTGTAAAGAATAAAAGCCACCAGCACGGGATTCAGAGGTAAATACTCTTCTCTTACTTAACGTTTCTAAATTTGCAAATATCAGAAGAAGGCTTTGTAGCGGGATTTAGAATCGAAATGTGCCTAAGTGTCAAGACATAAAAATAATGTATGACTGCCTTGCAAAGAGTTAGCTATTTCTGTGGGTAAATATGGACTCACAGCTCTGCTGCTGTTGCACAGGACCACCCGTGTTTGAAGCAAGTTTTAGGCAAAAAAAACCCTTCTTTAAGGAATACATCAGTTATCTTAAAAGACAGACCTTTATTTTAATTTTCCAAGTCCGTTGAACTTCATATATAGCAATTTTTCATGTTTAAAAACCTGTAGGAGGCATGTATCGAAGCATACTTGAAAGCACAGCAGAGTGGCTGTTAGTTTATCATACTAGGTTAGCTGAGTAAGAAGCTTTCATCTACAAAATCATGCTTGTCTTGTTTCAGTTTCACATAAAGTATATTTGAATTGTCTTAGTGTAACAAATGTACCTCATGCAAGAAATAAAGAGAAAGTTGGCACCTACTGCTTTTAGATCAAGTAGGATTTTTCTAAGCAACTGGAGAGCTTTTCAACTCTAAGAGTCACGGGAAACAATGTGGAAAGGGAGTGTAATGTGTGCATTGGCACAACTGACATCTACAGCTCAGTGACAATATTTCTCTTAGAAGCCACTTCTGCCAGAGAAAAACAAAGTCTGAATGCTGTGGAAGTTCCTTGACCTGTCTATAAAATCTCAATTACTGAGCAAAGAGCGGGGGAAAACCCCAAGAAAAACCAAACCAGTATTAAAAGTTTACTTTGCAATACAAAATCTGTAAAAATGTCTTAGATATGCTACTTCGGGGGTTACATTTATTTGGAATCGGTGATCACAACCCCAAAATTTTGGGTTAGATTTGCATAGTGTCCATCAAAATTAATGAAGAGCAAAGCATCCCTGAGATCAAAATATTGCAGCACCAGAACAATCTCCATGATTGAAAGCAACTATAGGAAAATGAATCTTTATGTTTTACCTACGATCAAGATTAGTCTTTAAGGCTACTTCAAGAAGTCATAGATTTGTGGGATGGAATTAGCTGGGAAAACAAAGACAGAACCTTTGAAATTAACAGCAGTCCAAACAAGGGGAAAGAATAATGCTATCTTTTTCACTCTACAGTGAACCTTCTATTTAAAAATGCTGCTCTACCCTTTTTCCCTTTGGAATTTTTATCTCTCATCCATTAACCTTTATCTTGGGCAATCCTGTGGACAGCCATCAGAAGGATGTTTTCTTCCAGAGTGAGACCTCAGCAGATGCAGCATCAAAAACTTTGTCTCTTTATGCTTTGCTCATGTTAACATCCATGAAAGTCAAACTCCTGACCCACACAGAGGCAAAAATAAGTGACTTGTCTGCTTGTTTGGCTTGTTTCTCCTTCTTCAATTATTGGCAGTTCACGAGCTTTTTGAGGAAGTCATGGAAAACAGAATTCTTATACTTTTAACAAACAAACAGGAGAACAGACCAACAGTTTCAATGAGCCCATGGAAGGCACTCTTGATGAAGTCAGAGCCTGCTCTATCAGGTGATTTTTTGCAGTTTGCCTTCCAATTAACAAATCTTCAAGCACATTCTTCAGCATTTCAAGCCCCTGCCTCTTCTGGGTTGCTGACAACAATAACAACCTATCAGTAAATTTTGATGGTTAACACGTAGCTCTTTCTCAAATAAAGGGACTTAATTTCAATTCATGCCTTCAGTTATCATACAAAACAATACTTTGAATATTATTATAAACTATAATGAAAAAAAAAAAAGGTGAATAAAGTGCTACAAGATTATTGGCCTGCTTTCATGCAACTTCAGGGAGCTGTAGGAGACATTTCTATAAGTCAACACTTTCCCTAGACAGTTCCTCCAGGTCAGTTTTAAATAAGAGAATAGTTAAAAGTAAGATTCTAAACTCGTCCTGTTTACAATATCTCTAGGCAACTTTATTCTCATATTAGCTTTTGAACTGGTCATAAGAACAGCAATTATAATTTGTTTCATTTTGTTAAGTGGCCTCATACTCACCACAAGTCTGAATCATATTCCTATTTACTGAAAACGTTTCTTGAGACACTCTGCTTTGCTATCAGTTCAGTCCCACCTCTTAGTCAAATAGGCAGCAGCCAACTATGAGCTCACCTAAAGCAACTTAAGTTCAGCTTCCAGATGTGTAATTCCAAAACAAATGACAATAAGTGATATAACAATCTATTTTTGGACAAGATTAATAGACTCTATTTCACCTTGATATATCAAGCCATAGGCAAACTAGGTATAGTCAAATTGCCTGTGTTTTTTTAAAGAAAACCTGCCTTACAGGTGAGTTCCAAGGCTGTGACAGGCAGCTGTGTGGTCTGAGATGAAATGGGAATGTAAAGATGTGGGATGGTGCATGGCACAAATTCTGAGTCTGCACTTCTGTCAGGAAGACGAATCTCTCACACCACTTAGAGTGATGCAAAGCTGTAAAGTATGAGTTCATACTATATATCCTATTAAATGGAAACAATTACACCTGTACTCTTCTCTTGCTCCTATTTTATTTTCAAATAATGCTTTAAAATATATCAATAATTGGACCTTAATGAAGTGATCTTTGGGCAGAGAAGATCATGATTTTCCTTCTAGGTTTCTGTGACCTCTAGGTTTGTGAGGACAAGGGCACTACTGACAGCAAATCTCTGGTCAAACACGTGAAAAAATCACCATCAAAACAAAGTTCTTACCAATTACAGAGAATTAGCTGCAGACTAAGTGACTTGCAGAGTGAGATCATTGTTTTGTCAGTGAGGTGCAGTGTCTATCACCCTCTCTGGGATTTATGTTAGTGCAAAAGCATGAACTCCTCACCTCCTATTACCCAAGCATCATCAGGAATGTCAGCAGACATGGAAACGCTGGTAGATGCTTTTCCTCAAGTCTACATCTGTAGCCACACAATCATAACAAAGATGTCAAAACTCTAAGGAACAAGCTCAGATTTGCAGCTGAATCACTGCACGTATCTTTGAACCAATTACTTCAAAAATAGCAAAACACCAACACAAGACAGCTAAATTTCCTACAACATGACTATGTTACAGATTTGTGGTCAAAGGCCCAAGAACATCTTGAAGTATTTTAAGTCTGTTCTCCCTCTCTCCATGTCTCTGGGAAACCTCACTCCAGAGCAGCATGATTTGGCTGTACTTTTCCAGCAACACTGGCTTAATTTTTTCCCACTTTATGAATTCTTTGAATACTCAGGTCTGCTTTACTACATTTGAATTGCTTGGTTTTACTCAATAGCCACATTTCTCCACCTCCCACAATCCATTTCACACTAATTAGAGAATTCCCAAGCTACCTTGCTTCAAATGCAGCATTTCTATTCTTGTACATTCTGGTAATTTTGGCTTCCCTGGGGAAGTCTTGTGGCAGTTTTTACATGGTGATAGGACAAGGCTGAAGTGCTTTAAATGCAAGAGGAAAGATTTACATCACATGTTAGGACAAAATTCTTTACTGTGAGGGAGGGGAGGGTCTGCACATGTTGCCCAGAGAGAAATTGTGATCATCCCCTTTGCTGAAACTGTTATTGAATTTGCACTATCATCTATCTCATTTGTGGCATATTTTTAGGCAGGGGAAGCTCTCTGCCTGTGGTATTTTCTTGTTGAACCACTCCCACACGTTCCACAAACACAAGCTTGAACTTACAGCTATTTTTAAGTATGTTTTTCTAAGGATTTATCTTACAACAGAGATGCTTAAGAGGATATTTTCATCCAACCACCTTGTGTTTTATAATCCTTGGTTTAAGCATGTTTGTTTACAATGTATTTAAGCTAAAGGAAACTTTGTAAACAAAGGAGAAACTAAATGTAACTTATAGGAAGACATCCTAGTTCAGTAGCTTCAGATACATCTTTGAGTAACAGGGCAAGATTTCAAAACCAAACAAGTGCCTTCTTTCCTTGTGAGAACGTGAGAGAGCACAAACTGAATTTCCACTCAAAACACCAGCTTTCCCCAAAGACTACTCTAAGGATTTTAAACTATATCCATTTAAATAGTATATGTGTCTCACTAATTTTTTTTGCTAACTTAAGACACTTAACCACTAATCAAGCTCCAGAGTATGACTCCAAGATTTACTCATTGTCATTGTGCTCAGAAAAAAAGTTAGATGGGTTTCTTGGCACCACATGACAGAGCTGTAATGTAATTCCACTGCAGCATGGAAATGAATAAAAAAAAAAATTAAAAAAAATGTTTAGGATTACATGCAACATGAAATTCCTTTGGGACGCATTGCCTGAAAGTCTACCCAGTGCCCTTAACTGACTCATACCTAAGGGTCAGGAAAACAAACCTACCCTAATTTATGGTGCAATCATTCAAAAAAAACCTCCCAAAACAAAACAAAACAAAACAAAAAAATCACAAAAAACCAAACCACTAACAAACAAAAAACCAGCAGTTTCAGCAGAGGTAAAGAAGGCAGAATGAGCCAGAACACAGATAACAAAGAGCTCTTAAAGAGAGAATTCTGTTCCTTCATTGGCTGCAAGTCCTCTTCTCTGGAAGATATTAAAACCAAGGTAAGGTGGTATATTGTATCAAAGATCAAATAGAAACAGAGCCTTTGCTGACAGGCATTTTAATCAAAGTGCTGAATAACTAAGAAATAGTGAACAAAAGCAGAAACTAAAATTAACAGGAGGCTTTGGTAATTTGGGGACTGGGGAAGAAATAAAACAATCCAGCAAGGCCAAATTAGAAGGCATTAAATCCAAGTACAACCAGAAACAAAAGAGTTCCATACAATTAACTTTCCTACTTCACATATTGAATTATGTCTTTTAACTTAATGTAGCCCATATCTTATTTTTGGATGTAGTCTCCATATTTCCTGGGGTCCGCTGATAAATTTATCAGACAGGTGGAAGAAAAATCTATGTGGTAGCTTTGCAATTAAGCAAGTGGACCTTTCAACTTACCTTTTTATCAAATGGACAAGATAATATAAAAAATTTCATTTCTGTCAAACTCATTGTCTTTGAATTCTGGACATACTTTATCATCATGACAGATTCTAATGGTGATCCAGCTACCAGGATCTTTTATTTCCTGAGTCAATGTGCTGAGGTAATTGTCTTTATCAAGACTTCCCCACTCATGGGGAAATGGCATCCATTTAAATGGAGAGATTCACATAACCCTGTTCCTGAGGAGCAACCCAGCCAAGTTATCAGAAGGCAAAGACTCTTGCAATACCCTTAAAATATATTTGACAAGGATGTGAAAATTGCATTTCTGAACTTGCCAACTATATATAACTATACATGACTATAGATAAAGATGCTTCAAGAAGAACAAACTTAATCACCAATGGGTTTGCATGATAATGACAGTGGGCAGTGAATGTAGAGGCCACACTAAGTCACTGGAGTGCTTTCAGTCCACATATTCCATTTATTCCACTCTAAACAATGGGCATATTCTCCCTTTACTGACAAAAACTTCAAGGAAAGTGAAGTGCTTTCATCTCAATCAAAAGAAAAACAGGATATGCCCCTATATACAAACTCATAGGACAAAACAAGGACTCAGTAAATGAACAGAGCTTGTTGTGGAACAGTCAAGAAGCCAAGCCAACAATTTCCAAGGTTATCTCTGTCATGAAGACATCCTCATTTCTTTGAAACCAGCATGCATTCCAATTGCCAGTAAAATCAAGCACAATTATTGGCAAGCCTGTTCAATGGCAGGCTTTGAAGGCAAGACCAACAGCAGAGAAGATATGAAACTAAGATTCAATTGCTTACATTCCAGTCTTTTGTGAGACTGATCTTTAAACAAGCAAAAAAAATCTCCAGTATTTTCTGCTCACTTCTCTGGTATTTAACAATATTTGCAGATTTGTTTGGCAGTTCTGTGAGGTTCTTCCCTCCAGCCCCAAGGAACACAGCTATTTCAAGAGCAATGCACCGATTCTTTTAGACCCAAGAAATTCTTGTCACCTCACGGCATAAGCATTAATAGTGCCCTTAGAACTTGCTTGTAATCCCAGGTTTGCACAGCCCTGCTAAATTAACTTGGGTCAGCAGATGTGTGAGGTTGGACTAGAACAGATTTTCAGGTCACTTCTCCGAAGCCCTGTTGAGCAGCCCTGGGTCCTTTCACATGCCCCAGCCTGAACTTTCCCTGTTGGTGGTGCCAAGGAGCTTGAAGATTTTATCTGGGAGAAACTGCCTGACTTCTGCCATGGGAATATCCACTGAAAAGTTCAGCAATGGAGAGTCATTACTGTCACGAAATGAATACATTTTGCATTTTTCCCACCCTGGAATAACATTCTCTAATAAATAATTTGCAAACTTGTCTGATCACAAGTCTTCTCTTGATGTGAATCAACAAACCTAAATTAAAATATTACGGCATTAAGGGGGAAAAAAAAGCAGTAAGGAAAATTCACACTAGGGTAGAATATCATTATTCTTTCTCATGACTGACCTCTGAAGCATTTCAAGTTTTGTTTTTCAGCTAATCCTACTGCAGAAAGACAGATTTAAGCCTGTGAAGACGTGTCCACACTGCTCAACTCCACGACTTATACAAAAATCTATTTAGAGACTTTAAATATGCATAGGGGAGCAGAGATACCACAGCAGTATCATTTGGAACTGTTCAAATACAAGAAAATAATTTGCATACTGAGAAGTTACTGGATAGACCCTTTGCAGTTTCTAAAAATGCATCCTTTGGATACTATTAAGAAATCCTACATTTGCTTGCTAACAAAAAATGAAATCCATAGAATCAGGGTTTAATAAGAGTTGCACCTATTTAATACTACTATTTCAGAGAACAGCCTTAAAAGCTCTGAAACAGCTAAGAGATACCACTGAGCTGTTTAACCTTCATGCTTGAACAGCTCTTTGAAAAACACACATCTGATTGAACCAGAAGACCCTAAGTAAAAAATCCCATAATATTCTAGTCCTGAACATGTTACTTCTTAGTAAAATCTTCCATTCTTGATCACAGTCCAAGGAAATCATTTATGTAGAGTTTGACAAAAATACCTTCTTCCCGATGATTAAAAATAGTTGAACTTAGTTTCCATTGGATGTGTTTTAGAAAATACCTTGTTCTTATTTAGCTCTCCAGTAAAGCTTGCACAACAGCTAGGGAACAAAACAAAACTATATCTGCTTTCTGTTAAATAAAAAACAGCACTGAATTGTAGCCCACTGTGGTTCACAATGCATGTTTGCATCAATTTTATGACGAATGTAAATGACAGTGTAAGAGTAGATAACAGTAATTCAAAAAGGGCTTAGAAAATCTTCATGCTGCAACACTAGTGATATGGATTCAACTCCATAAAAACTCAAACATAAAAAATTAATTTATTTTCATGCTAAATTATTAGAGGTCTTAAAATATGAGCGTTCTGTTGTTCTGTTTTGTTGTAGCTAACTGCTTCAGTTACTAACTCCCCAGGCAAGGAAAATTGGGAAAGATTTTTGAGTGTGGCCAAATTACTAATCTAAATTGATGCCAGAATGCTGATTTGTTACAAGGTCTGTCTCATAATCTCAAAAACTGAAATATTTCCTACTGAGAATTCAAAAATGGCACAGCCACACTCACTTCTATTTCCAAAAAGATTGATAGGTTGATTAGTTTTCATTAAGTAAAGAGTAATGATAAAATAATTGGGGTTACTTCTCTCCCCTTCCCAAAATAAAAGTCCTCTCCACACTTCTCTGGTCTAAATTCTGTGCACTGCATCACAAATGTACCTCAAAAATGGCCTTGGGCTACAAATCACAACTTGTTCAGAATACCCTCCATTCCAACTCATTGCTACTTTTACTTTGGTGCAGAGGGAAGTAGCCCTGATCTCCAAAACTACTTTTCATATATACCAATATCTTTGAATTCTGGACATACTTTATCATCATGACAGATTCTAATGGTGATCCATCTACCAGGATCTTTTATTTCCTGAGTCAATGTGCTGAGGTAATTGTCTTTATCAAGAATTCCCCAGTCATATATATATACACCTATATATGAAAAGTACCTATATAGATATGAAAAATACCTGTAACTACTAACATTGATTGTTGTTACATTTTGGTTACAGTGCAACCAAACAAAAAAGATATTGGAATTAACTTCCTGCATTGCAAGAGGGGAGGAGAGAAAAAAAAAAAAACAGGAAAGAATCCTGACCACAAAAACCATGAGAGATCGTCTGCAAGAGCTCAAACTGAGGGCTAAGGAACTACAGATGGGTGGGGGAAACAATGGTGCAACTGTACAAGAAGAGGAGCAGGAGGAGTTTGAACAGCAGGCCATTATTTATGAAAAAGAGCCCATAACTGAAAGGCATTTGCACGAAATCCAGAAGCTTCAGAACGAAATTAATAATCTGGTGGAAGAAGTCAATAAATTCAGCCAACAACAAAAAAGCCTCGTGTCTTCAATGAGAAGATTCAGCGTTCTCAAAAAGGAATCTAACATAGCGAGGGAAATCAAAATCCAAGCAGAACAGGTACGCAAAGGTTTGGATGAGCTGGCAAAAGCAGTGAGGAAAGCTGAGAATGAGCACGGGCCAGCACGAGCCACGGTGAGGATCCTGGCTGCCCAGCACGCCTTCCTGTCCCACCGCTACCTGCAGGCCATGCTCGCCTACAACCAGGCCATCACCGCCAAGCAGGACAAGTGCAGGACCTTCATCCTCCGCCAGCTTGAGGTAGCTGGCAAAGAGGTGTCTGAGGAGGAGGTCAATGACATGCTCCAGCAAGGAAAATGGGAGATTTTCAATGAAAATCTACTCACTGAAGTCAAGATTACTAAAGCTCAGCTGTCAGAGATTGAGCAGAGACACAAAGAACTGGTCAATCTGGAGAACCAGATCAAAGACGTGAAAGAACTCTTTATCCAGATCTCGCTTCTGGTGGAGGAGCAAGGGCAGATGATCAACAACATAGAAATCTACATGAACAATGCTCAAGAATATACTCAAGTATCAAAAGAAAAGTTTGGGCTTGCAGTCAGGTATAAAAAAAGAAACCCTTGCAAAGCAATTTGCTGCTGGTGCTGTCCATGCTGCAGATGACACCAGAAATGAACTGCTTGAAATACCAATGGTTCCTCCACACCAAACTGATCTTGGAAAGCACTCTTGGAATCCCTCAACTGCTTCACTTTTCTCCCCGTTTTCCCTTCAGCAGAGCTCTCAGGAAAAACTGCATCTGTTTTTCAAGCCAGAGTAAAGAATTTTATGGTTTTTACAGAAACACGTGAACTACAGGAAATGATCAAAGGATAAAAGTGACTTTTTTTTTTTGGTTCTTATAAACTTCTTCAAAGTTTAGAAGTTCTAAAGTTTAGTTTGGTTCTTCAAACTAAATCAGTGTGGCAAGAAACTCCCTGTGCTGTTGGGAAGCATTGAAAATACTGTTAATCACGGACAGGATTCATAAAAGTGTTTTATTTACTTTTCTCAAAATAATAATAAGTATTTTTAATTGCCTTGTGGTATTTTTTAGCATTTATATTTACTTGCTCAAATTCCATTTTGTTTTTTCCCCAGGAATATGAAATTCTACAAAACAAATCCACACAATGCAGACACCATTAGTAACAATCCAGAATGCGATGCCTAGACCAGACAAGAGGTCAGAAAACTTATCAGGAATGTCTCAATACTACCTCTAAGGAAAAGTTCATAAACTTTTCATAAATTGACACAGGGATACTTAGATTATTCAGCTCTACAGGCAGAGCTCTAGCAGGATAGGGGAATATGATCCCTAATTACACTCTCACAAGGCAGATTCTTAATGCTGCCTATCCTACCTGAATACACAGTCACATCTGCAGTCTCATTTTTGCTAGCACAAAAATTAATGAAAAAATAGAATAAAAAATAGATCTCCATCCTTACACCCCCTACTCCTCCCCCCATAATCTAGAACCAGAGAATGATTTAGGTTGGAAGGAACCTCCTGTAACCAACTCCTTTTGGAACTGAGTGAGAAACAGCTCTCCATGCAATTTAACAGACAACAGCACTGTAACTGAGCCAAAAAAGTTATATCCAAAAAGAAATTTAAAAAAAAATTTGCACACTAAAACCAAACAGAAACCAGAAATGTATTCCTGAACTGTGTTGTGCTGTGCAAAGACACTTTATTTGGATAGTCAGAGAAGCCAGAACAAACTGCACTGCTACTCAGCAAGACACTAAGTGAACTGGATGGCTTTAGTTGCATGTAGTGGGGAAAAAACCAATCTACTATCAAAGTCATTTTCACATTGTGGTATTTAGAAAGAGTTGGATTCCTTCCATCCCAGATTAAAATTGCAACTGCTATCAAAATACAATCAAAGGTCTGAACTTTAAAGTAAAAAATCCTATTTACACAGTAGCAACAAAAAATAAACTTAAATGATGACATCACTGAAACTATTTCATTAAATAACCTCCCCTTAACACAGCAGAAATTAGCCAATAGACTAGAACTGTACTTCCAATAGTGGAATAAAACTCAAGTTTTCAAAATTCAAGTTTTAATACTTAGGAAAACAGCTGCCCAACTAAGTCATTTCCAGATGTAAATTGGTTAGAAACAGGTGAAACAGATAAAACACACTGAAGGAGAACTGGGAAGTGAGAAAGACTTGTGGAGAACTTTTCCTTGATAAGGGGATAATATTAACTGAAAATAAATAGTATTAAATAACACTATTAACTACAGTTTGCACTGAATTTGATATTGAGCATTCAAAATTATTAGCAGCAGAAATCTGCAGTAATCACTAAAGTAACTTTCCAGTGTTTTCAGTAGTTACATAAATATGCAGAAAAACAAACAAATGAAAGCCTAGCTATAAGTGTTCTATGAAGAAAAGTGAAACATTAATAGCTATAATCCCTTATCACCAAAATAACAGGTAGAAAATAGCTTTCTCCTAACAAAACACCTTCCCAAAAATCTCCTTGGTATAAAATATCAGTCACGGCACATGGATTTGCATTTCCTCATGTACATGCTCCATGTCAACTTAAAAAAAACAAAAACAAAACAAAGACTCCAAACAAACACTACTAATCCCAAACAAAACCAGCATTTGCCTGCATAATATGATGTCTTTGTACTCCTTTCTGATAAAAGAAAGGACAAAAATAATCTTAAGTGAAGAAAATTTAAACTTGTATATAAGTCTTGAGGATGCTGCCAGAAGAATTTATCCATAAACATAAATTAGGTGATAACACTGAACAGCAAAAAAACCCAATTGATACGTTTAACATCTGTAATTTATACCAAGAGACAGCAAAAGACAATACTATCAACACTTGAGAAAAATGGTCTTAAAATTATTCTGTGACACCTCCATGGGAAGCAGTAAATAACAACATGGAAGAGCAGCAATTAAACATGTAGAAAATATCACACTGAACACCAGATTTCTCATATTACTATATTTCTGTGATATAGAGTATTTAGCACCACGTTTATGTCCTCATTGTGCAATTCAGCCTATTCTGCATGGATTAAAATGCACTAATTAAAACATGTAGCAAGGTATTAGGGAACTTATTGCTACATAGGTAGCAAGTATCTCATTATTAAAAAACAAAACCAAAACATCCACAAACAAAATCTGAACATTAAAATTAATATTAAAAAGGCTAAATTTCAGCATAAGTTTGGAAATCTGACAATACAGGAAAGAATTCTTAACTCAAGAGGCAGGCTCACACAGGAGCATAAGCCAAAGAACTACTGGATCCCTCCACAGAACTGGGATGATGCAAAAGCAAATTCTGATCAAAGCCCTGAAGTTTAATCTAATAAAAAGTATTAACATCAAAAAACTTGGTTTAGTCCCCATTAGAGCAATTAAAAAAATACATTCTGCCTTCTGATTATCTACTGATAGGGATTAAAAAGCAGCATCAAGATCCAGGGAAGTGAGGGAGTTCTCTGCAGGTCTAGTCAGCCATGCAAACAAACTCCATTACAGGATTAGAGCATAGAGATTTCTGCACACACCCCCCCCAAAAAAAAAAAAAAACCCACCAAAAAAACCAAAATACAACTCAAAACCCCATATAAAGTTGTATTTAATTAAAAAACACAGCACAGTTTTCCACACTCACAGCTGCATTTTCAAAACACATTTGAGTTTAAACTAAGCGGGTTTTATTGCCTTGCCTGTGCCAGTTACATGCAGAGCAATGAAAGGTAACATCTAATCTATTTTCAACATCTACACCATTACTTTGCTGAACTACCCTCCACTTCATCAATACAATTAGCCAGGCTCAGCTTCAGCAGAGCATCACTGCTTCTTAAAAATATGAGGTCTCTTACTTGTACAGATTCTTTATGACAGCACAGGGATGATGTGCAATTTATACATTATGGAGGTCTTTTGCTCACCAGACATAAAGATATTGACTTCATAAACCATTTTAAACTTTCAGAGTTTATTTTTTAAAAAGCATATTTGTTATCAAATATTTTTGATGCGGATTTTAGGAAAGTACGTTCTTTCCAATATTTTTACAAGCCCTATTAAACAGAGAAAAAGCAGGTGCCCAATACAATTAAAGCAAGCCTCCTTTAATGAGATTTTGTTGATCATATATCAGCAGCATCATGTGTTAAGTGAACAAGACATTTATTGGTGAGAGATCACCCTATTGCTGAGTATGATCAACCATTTACCATTTAATTAATTGATGTGGGCATAAGCAGAAACAATATTTTTGCATCATCTTGCCACGCCAAATTTGTAAAGCCTTTTAACCTAGCATTTCAAGTAACATTAGAATTTTAAAGCATAAAAAAAAAATCACACCTTGTTATTTTTCCATGGCTAATGAAAGAGGAGAGAAATAAATAGCCCTGAGCAGGATAAAATAAAACATAAAACCAATTGCAATATTGGTTAGTGCTAAAGTTACAGTAGTATTAGCTACAGAAATTGTTCTTTAGGTCTAAATTCACCCAATTTCAGATTATTAGGAGAACATTTATTATGCTACTTACACTAACACAGGTTTTCCTGATATCTTAGGGCTTTTTAACACTTCTATCATGGCTTGTTTTGTTTCTTCCATTCTTTCAATGTCACTGGAATCCACCACAAATATGACACCATAGGACTCAGCATAATAATTTCTCCAGATATTCCGGATTCGTTTTCCACCTCCTAAATCAAAGATGGTGACTTCAAAGCGTCCCTGTTTAAGATGAATTTTGGAAAACCCAACTGTGGGAGCCACATCTTCAGGAGACTCTGTCAAAGAAGAAAGCCTTGAGTTTAAAGATTTTTTTTTTTTTTTAGTGGGATTTGTGTAGCAAAATTCTCATTTTAAAAACACGGAGTGAAACCTCCTTGTTAAATATTGCTGACCACATTTTTGCTTACATTAAGATTTCCCCTCTCCTCAGGGAATTTTAAATTAACTAGTCTCTCAACTAGTTACTTTACATTAATTTAGATGGGAGCACTGGGGGAGTGGGAAGGGGGGAGAAAAGAGAGGGGCCCAAAAGGCAGATTTTAATATTTCACACCACAGTTCCATCGCAGTGGTGGTTACTGTGCTGCATTTTCACTTCCACTAATTTCCATGGTAGTAACTCAACTTTTAGAAGGAAAACAACCAAAACAATTAATGCACTATAACCTTGTGCTCTGCCAATTTATTTTTTTATCCTTCATGGTTGCCAAAAGAGCTTCAGAAGTTCAAACCAAGGGCTGAGACAAAATGACTGAAACCATGTTCTTCTGAGATGTAAACTATTTGATTCCATTTATTCGAGGCCAGGTTTTAGCTTTTGGTTTTTTTGCTTCTTTTTATTTGCTGCTTTTTTCTAATTTTCCATGCGATATGCAAAAAATTATAGATTTCTATTTAATACTTTTGCTTTCTGTCTCCCTTTCCTGAGGGCAAAGAAAGCCTGGACTCCTCTCACACTGCTAAGCTGTGCCTGCAGGGCTGAGATAATTGGATCTGTTTTATGCAGCTGGGGAGCACAAGGCAGGAGAAACATGGAAAATTCAGCTTGTTGAGAGGAACAAAATGAAGGCCTGGCTAAAAGCACTGAGCTCTGAAGAGCAGTGCAGAAACTGAATCCCCACCACCTTCGGCTCCTACCCTTAAAATAGCCAAGATGGCCATTCAGGACATTTAAGCCCTGGGGAACACTCAAGGAAACCAGAACTATCTTTTCCTTGACTTTTCCTTTAGAAATACACATCTTTATCTCATTTTTTTCCCCTGTAAAATAGGACTTTTAGAAATAACTGTTACATTCAGATAGTAAAGATATTAAAGGTGGGGTTTTCACATAGAATGGAAGGCTACATTATGAAACACTCCTGTTTTTAAGGCAAAGATGGAGGAATAGGAGAGAATGCTCATGATTTTATTTGTGCTTTAGCAAGTTTGTGAACTTACATAACACAAGTAAACAAACTTGAGGTGGAGTCTCCAAGTCTGCCAAAACACTACTCTACACTACAAGCAAACCCTTGTTCTTGCACAAGATGAAAGTTATTTAGAAAGACAATCCCTCAAGTGGGGGAAATAAAACCCAGAATTTTTGTTTTTGAAAGTTTTATCTCAAATTATATCCTGCTTGCATGCACCAGGGTGAAATACCCTTCAAAATCAAGTGGTCTCTTAGTGGCAATTTTATTTATCATAATTTTCTGACAATAAATAGTGATAAAAAATATGCAACACTAGAACCATCCTTAATATTATACATACCAATTTCCTTCTTTTAGACCTTATATATACTTACTTACAGCACTGATTTTTATATAAATTTTACTGCTGTATGCACATTACTGGAATGGTGACCTGAAAGCAACTTCAGCACATGCACACAGGGAAAAAAGAGAAAAAAAATCCAGTCCACTGATTGTATATTTTGTAATGTTTTTATTGTAACGTTTTTATTAAGGTGTGATATATGTGATATTTGGATGGTACAACCACCAATGTTTTCTTTCAACAATATGGGAGGGAGAGATACATAAGAGATGAAACAATACTTTCAGATTTAAATTTTTGAAAATTAGGAATGATACTCTCAGTGCTCTGTTTGGATGATAAATTAATCACTTACCTCCTTGAATTCCTCGGACTGTAGCAGTTTTTCCAGCATTATCAAGACCCACCATTATTAGTGTCACCTTCCTCCATAAGGAGAAAAGAAAACAGAAAGATATTTAATTTTTTTTCCTCTAGCTACACATAATTTAACCTATATTTTAAACACATGCACAGCAAATTTACCACCAAACAGAAATAAGAAGTATCAGAATACCAAGGCACTGTTACTGTTGTGTGTCTGGTGTTTAACATGTCCAATCATCTGACTAGACAGAACAGCAGAACAAGGTAGGAAATGAAAAGTCTTGTATCATGGTCTAAGTTTCACATGAGACAATGATTCTGCTTTCAACTGATACTTGCCTGCTGCAGTTTAATTTCACAGTACTCTAAATTTTATTTGGTGTGGTCATGGTCCCTTTAACAGTTTCTGTAACTGCAGTTCCATGCCCCTGTATTTTTACCATCTCTCTGCCTCAAAGTTTTTTCTGTATTAGAAAATTATTTCTGTCTCCATCAGTGTGTCAGAACAACACCATACAGAGTATGGTGGTGTTCTGACTTGTGTAGACAGCACGAGATGCTGGACATATGTGGGACTTAGCATGCCTTTGCTTCTAGACTGTAAATGTGCAAACCAGTGGGCTAGGAATGCACAATTTATTAGCAAACTGGTATACAGGTTAATATTTTTCCCAGGATAGGATTTTTAAAGCCACAGGAAAAGCATATTTATGTGTGTATACCTCAGTCATTCCTCCCATTCACAAAGACTCACCGGTCAAATCAATTTGCTCAATTTTATGCCCCCTTAAGTGAAGGAATTTAAAAAAAAAACATTGTTATTTGCAGACTTCAAACTGTAATAGTATCAAACATGAAGTATAACTTATACAAGTTCTTTCAGAAGAACAAGAAACGTCTGAGAAGAGAACCCAAATATTAAATTATACTTTAGAATCTCAAAATGCAGAAGCTGGAAGAGTAAGGTAAAAACCAAACAAACTTTACTTTGAGCAGCTTAGAAGCTTTCTGTGATGGCGTGACCAGAGCAGTGGACAAAGGAAGGATTACCGATAAAATTTATCATGACTTCTGTCCAAATTGGAGAGATGGGTTCAGTGGATGGACTGGTAGGTAGGTAAGGAACTGCTGGGACAGTCACAGCCCAAGGGTAGCGGTGACAGCTTGGAGTCTCAGCGGACGCCAGTGACCAGCAGTGCCCTCAGAGGTCCATACTGGGACGAGCTATTGAATATCTCCATTAATGAGACAAAAGCAAATTTGAAGTTGAGTGATGAGGCTGACACACCTAAAGGATGGGAAGCCATCCAGAGGGAACTGCACAAGCTCAAGAAGTGGCCCATGGGAATATCAGGACATTTAGCAAGACCAAGTACAAGGTGCTGGGTCAGGGTATCAGCACATGGAGAAAAGCCCCTTGGAGAAAGAACTTGGAGGTGCTGGTGGGTGAGAGGTTGGACATGACCAAATGTGTAACAATGAATAAAATTCAGTTTAGGAAGGTGAGAAATGTAAAATACTTTCCCATGTTTACCTGACAGGTTCCCTCCACCGTTTCAACCAGCTGCAGCAATTGGCCATTAGATTGAACATCCCTCTTCACCAGCCATCCAGAGCCACCAAAGCTACAGGAATGATGTGGGCAGGCCAGAGCAACCCAAGGAGACTGGCAGAGAGACGTCAGACTTCAGAGCCAAGGTCTTGTCTTGCCACTCCTAGAAAGAAAGAAAAGGGGCAAAAAAACCAAATTAGATAGGCACTCTGTAGAAAGAAGGCAGTAGCCTCATTTCCAGAGTGTTATGTTCAGTCTTGTTATCTTTCCTTTTTCCCTCCTCACACACTTCATCCACCCCCTCTTACAGATCTGGGCAGCCACCACCACTACTTATCCCAAATAATAGTGCCAGGCCACTGCACAGAAGCAAACCTGCAAGTTGGAGGAGCAAGACACATGCAGCTACAAAATGTCAGTGCTTGTCTCACCAACACATCCCACAGCCCTGCTGACTGACAGAGGATAAGGACCAATTTCAAGCATGAGTAAGACTTACAAGAACATAACAGGATAAGGCATTAAAAGCAAACAAAGAACATCCCTACCTGCTAAGTGTATTCATTTCACTGTCAAGTTCTTTTGCACAAAAGAATCCCAGAGCAATGAAACTGGCTCTCTAGTGAGTATTTTGAGGAACTGGCAATGATATCTAGCAATTGTCACTAAATTAAATAGAAGTACCAAGTACTTCCATCATCCCACAATTCCACTTTCCACTCTTCAAGCAGACAGAAGCAGAATATTTCTCTTTTTGAGAATTACCATAACAGGTCACCTAAAGCTTGTATCTCAAAATTCCCTTCATATTTTAAATTATAACTAACCTAAAACAAAGGTAATTTTAAATAATGCCAAAAGGTAAATAATTAAAGATTATAACAATCCTGATCAACTGTGATGGTTTAGATAATTTACAGAGGTAGGAACTGAACTCCTCCTAATCTTATGAAGCTGATTTTCAAGGATGCCTTTGCATGGGTCTGCTGTCATTCAGTGTCAGAAACAGCTCAGGTTTCATCCAAAGCACAGACAATAGATACTCTTTAAACATTTATATTCCATTAGCCTCAAGAGCCTGAGAATAGCTTCTCCATGGGAGAGCTGAATATATGAAGAGTAAAGAAGTTCCTAAAAAGAGCAAGATGATTACAACTGTTACAAGTATTAAAATTAAGCTCTGAAGAATACAAAATCATTAAAAAAAAAAAAAAGACAACCCCACATGCAGTGGGCTGTGCTGCCTCAACCCACGAGCAAGTTTGAACAAAGCCCACTTTGAGAACAGAGCTACACAAATTTCTAGAAAACAAAATGTAACAGCTCAGTGAACAAAATGTGCCATTGTAATTGTGTCAAATAACATAAATGTAACATTTTCAGTGCCTGAGCACCTCCACAGAACAATTCCCATCCATTTTTATACAGACTATCTTTGCAAACTGTCACAGAATTGCTCTTGAGCCTATATATGGCTCAGAGCATTCAGATGGGATTCAAGAGATGAAGAGAACTTATTCAAGAGTGAAAAGCAGAGAGCAACTATGCCCTAGCACAAGGATCTTGTTTAAATACAAAACCATAAAAGGGGGTGAGCAGAAATTGACAAATTAGATCAAAATTTACAGAAACAAAACACTCTAGGAGGAAAGGACATTCAACACTGCTGAAAATGTTATGGTAGGGAGACAAATCCCATTCTGCTCTGCCAGCTTGGAGAGACTGGGTCTCTGAAATAGCTACAGAATATGTGTCAGGTGTTTTATAGGTTGCACTAAGAACATCCCAAACCTGTTCCAGATATTACATCTGTCGGCTTGTTGAGGTCAAACAAAACCAACAAGCCCAGAAACCTGTCAAACATAGCAGTGAAGCCGGCACATCATTCAGGAAAATACATTTAGTACAACACCTTCACTAGAAGCTTTTACAATACAGAATTTATTTCAGTCACATCAAGCTTTCACATTTTTGGAAACACAGCTAAACAAATCATTTAGAGCTGACCCTCCTTACACAATTTAATTACTTAACTCCCTTCCTTGTCTGGATGTCAATTATATTGGGGCACTTTACTGTGTTATATTTTGAACAGCAAACCAAATGACTGAGCAGCAAAAATGTGTGAATACCATCCTCTCTGCCAAAATTGTAGTTGAGCACTAAATAAGGTGAAACAACTGTGGTGTTCTGAAAGCCCGAAACACTCCAATCTCTATGCAGAACAGCTTTAGGACCATCTAATTTTGATCTAATTAGTTAATTCCCGCTCACCTCCTTTTATGGTTTTGTATTTAAACAAGATCCTTGTGCTAGGGCATAGCTGCTCTCTGCTTTTCACTCTTGAATAAATTCTCTTCCTCTCTTGAATCCCATCTGAATGCTTTGAGCCATATATAGGCTCAAGAGCAATTTTGTGACAGTTCACAAAGATAGTCTGTATATAAAAAATATTTTCTGTAGAGAGTTGTCACTACAAGTCCCGCAGTTCAAGAGAGCCTTTCTGCGCTTTCCGGCCACCTTCCCAACCTTCCTTTCCAAGAGAGCAGCAGCTCTAAAATCCCGCATGTGTGCCTTGCTCCTCTCGCCCACTGTGGCAGCGCTTTTTTAGTTTATAAGCCCAGCGCTTTCTGTAAAAGCCGCTCTGACGCGGTGTGAGGACTCGGCCCTCAGGCTGCCGGGTCCCCCGGGCCCTTCCCCGCCCCGCTCACCGCTGCCTCCGCCGAGGCCCCGCAGCTCAACGGCTGCGCGCAGCCCGGAGCGCTCCGCTACGCACGGCCCGGCCCCGCCACGGCGGCGGCGGCCGGCGGGGAGCGGCGTGAGCTCCGGGCTGCGCTCGGCCGCTCCCGCTGAGGCGCTGCTCGGGCCGGGCCGGGCCGCGCCGGGAGCTCCGCGGCCGCGGGGCCGCCACACCGAGCCCGTCACCACGGAGACGGCCGACGGCGGCCGGCACGGGACACACTTAATGGCGCGCACGCACACGCCAAGAGGCGGGGCCGCGGCCGACCAATAGGAAGGGGTGGCTCGCCCGGCGCCGGCTGAGGATCAGCCAATCAGCGGCGAGGATCCGCGCCGCCGGTCCCCCCGCCCGGCGCCGTGCGGGAGCGAGCACCGGGGCGCGACCCCGCGGCCGCGAGTGTGTGGGCAATGCCCGCCTGCCCTGCCCCGCCGCCGCGGGGCCCCGCCCGGTGTGCGCCCTCCGCTCCCTCCGGGGATGCCCGCCGAGCCCGCCCGTGCGGCCGCCGCCTCCGCGGGGCGGGCCGGGCGCGACCCGCCCGCGCCCCCGCGGCGCTGTCCGCGGCGCCCTGGTGACGCTCCCGCAGGGCAGCGTTGCCCGGACGCGGCCCAGCCTCCCCCGCCGCGCCGCCGCCCCTCCCTCCCGCCCCCGCTGCCTCGCCCGGCCCCGCGGAGCAGCGGCCGCGCAGTCCCGGTGCCCCGGTAGCGATGGGGCCGCGGTGCCTCCCGCTGCTGGCGCTGGCCATCGCCCTGGCCGAGGCGGCGACCTGTGAGTGAGGCGAGGCGAGGCGGGGCGGGGGGACGGCGGGGCCGTGTCCTGGGGCTCGGGGCGGCCGGGGCCGTGCGGGGCAGCCCCGCGGCTCTGCCGGGGCTCGGAGCGGTTGGTGCGGGCCGGCCCGGCCGGGGCTCGGGGCTGTGCGCCGCTCCGCGGGAGTGTCTCTGCACAGGGAGCGCGGTTCCCTTGCAAGAACAGCCTCGGAGATCGTGGTGTGCTCGGAAATGCGGCTTTATTGCGCAGCCCAGACAAGCGGCACAGACCCTTTTTGTAAGTTCAGACCTCTCAGGCTAGGTAAGAGCTACTTGCTCTCACGTACGGATCAAAAAAACACAAAGTATTCCGTCTTCGACACAAAAGTGTTTGAGCTTAATAGTGGAAGAAGACAGTGTAGCTGAAACAGGCAGAATTGCAGCTCAAAGTAAGCCTGTTTCTGACCTGTTTTACTAATGATTAAACTGGCAGAGCAGAAACTGGATGTTTACTATTCTGCAAGGTACTGGGATATCTGACTTGGGAAGGGAGCAGTATCAAAAGATGAAAGTTCAGTTTGTAACGTTTTTAACATGTTCTAAAAATAAACCTTCCAATAAATATTCCATTATGATCTTTTCTTCTGTTTTCGTCACGTTCTTGGTTCCATTTATCTTCTCCACTGCATACCTTGTTATTTTTCTTAACAGCAGGAAATCAGCTCTCCTGCTCATCCAAAATTTGTGGTCCATATTATCCAGTTTCCTATGCCTGGCTCTGAACAGTGCCAGGGATTTCTGGAATGGCAGGGGAGGGGAAGAAGGGAAAATAGCTTAATAATGCAGCTCATACAGTTCAATTATCATACAGTTGCCTCTGCAAGCCTTGGTGCATTTGGATTTGGTCAATTATCAGGATAGGGATGCATTTTGAAGAAGGTGCAGGTAAATATTAGTGGCCAACTTTATTTTGTTGGCTGCATAATGTCACTGAGGAGCTTTTCAGGATACTCATGTGACTGGAGTTACATAGCTGTGCAAACAAGATTGTGCCACTTCCTACCATGGTGTCACTTTTTATTCAGCTTTATTCAGCTGCTTTCCTTGGCTGGGGTCTTGGGTAAGCAGCTCTAAGTTATGTTTAAGTGGCTCACTTAAAGCACGTTTATGGTTGCATCTGCATGACAGAACATCTGTAAGAAACCACGGAATCTCATCCTCTCCCACATATTTTTTTCTCTTTTTTAGTAGCATCACTTTTAGATGCTTGATAAGCATTCACTACACAGTGGCTGTACACCAGCTGTGGGAATTGTTATGCTCTGGAGTTGCACAAGGCTTCAGTTATCACCACGTGAAGCAGCCCGAGTGCATTAAGGGTTAACTTGATTTGGCAGGGTCAGAAATGGGCTGGAGTTTCTTGTAATCAGACTGGCAGCAGCAGCAGCAGCCAGGGTTTTTTGTTTTTAATAAAGGTCCTATCATAATCTTTGTAATTAAAACACAGATGAATAGATACACTGCTAATTCTGTGCATGGGGATTGAAATATTTGCACTAAAAAAATGGAATTTGCTCTGAGCTATGTGCTTTATTTAATGTCAGAAGTTATAGGAAATCAGCTTAGGAGAAGGATAAACTGCTCTGATGTAGGGGAAAAGACTTATTCCCATTGCCCCACTGTACTGAAAACATGAAGTAGAAAGTGTTACATCTGCTTGTACACAACTGAAAATTTCTTGTCTTTTATTTGCTGTAAAACCGTGGGAAAATGATAATGATGTACCTAAAAGTCAACATCATTGTGGGGGGTAGAAATCTCCCATGGAAATAAACCCAGCAGCTATAATACACAATTTTCCTATTTCTATTGTCACTGCTTTTGCCTCAGGACAGATGGTCTTTCTGCATCTTACTTATTAGCAAGAAATAAAGCATTTAGTCTAATTAATTGAACTTCTTTCATTTCTAAGCAACGTGCTTGTTGTTCTCTGAGATAGAGGTGTGCTGGAAAACCTTGGAGGTGGGCTGTACATAAACCTTATGCTCAGGAAATCTTATTTACTGCCTTACCAGGATGATTAGTTTTCCAGAAGGAAAGCAAATAGATTAGTTTGTAGTTACAGGCTCAACCCATGTCAGATTCACTCAGGAGGCTGTAACACAAAGGTTTTTTCAGGTCATTCACTACCCAACGTTGCAGCACTTCAGAATGTTCCCTGTCACTTAGTAGAGACCTTTAATGTGTTTAGGATTGTGTGGTTTTAGTTGAATGTTAAATCTGTCTCCTTTCAAGCTCTGGGCCTCATTAGCTGCTCTTTCTAGTCAGCTTCCTTAATTTTTTACTTTCCTGTTAGTGCAGAGAAACTGGGAGCTCTTCTCCGGCACTTGGCTGCTGGTGTGGCTCGT